CACTAAAGCCATATTTCACTGTAGAACAAACTATAAGTGACATTCATATTTACTGTTTGATGAGTGTGAATATATCTTTGGTGGGATTTACGAAGCAGATACACTAAATTTTGTTTACTCTGTGCATGATGTAATTGTTAATTTTAATTTAGTTCGTGTTCAACTGATAAGGCATGTCTGGCTTATGGTGAAACTCAATTAGCTCTTACGAAAACATACAAATATTACCCTTGTATAAATATTTTCAAATCGTTTCAAATTGGAACAAAAAGAGCGAAACTTTTCTATTTCAGTAATAATTTTCCTTGACAATGGAATGTATTAAAAAATTATGTTTTAAAACACACATTTTGCAAATTCTGAAACGGGGTTATGCAAAATGATATATTCCAACAGAGCATTTCTGAATAAAAAAGGAAAATTATACTCTGCGATACTTTAGTTCTTTCACATGCCAACTACGCAGACGTGGTGCATGGTCCGGGAATTTTGAAAAGTGACAGTTTTAGAACTCGAAAACTCCAGAATCCATATGCATTAGGTTCATTACGCGTTCTGGGATGTGGGTTGGTTGAATATGGAATCCAGACGAACATTTCATTCTGCAACATTTTTTCAAAAACTCCTCTTGTAGAAAACAGAAGCAACGGATGACTTCCTTTAGTTCGAATAATACCAGAAGGATTACATTGAAACACATTGTATGAAGTAGTGAATTTCAAATCATCACAGACACTTGATGATAACATTTCAAATCGGCGGTCACATAAATGTTCACAGAAGCCCACGCCTGCAGTGTGTTAATTTTAATGATTGCATATTCAATCAACAGTGTCATTAGCCTCGTCGCTATCGTATTTATAATTATAAACTTCAATTCAGGATAAACATATAATCGAAAGGTTGCAACTTTTTCAAAATCATTTCACAATAAGTTCAAGTGTTGTTGACAATCATTTTGTTAAAGAAATAAGCAATCAAGACTCTTTTTTATTTGGAAAATTCAGCTATATTATTTTATATATCACAATAAATATAGTTTTCTGGTACATAAATAATATTTCAATTCAATTTTTTGTGGACGATTTCTGTAACCCACATATAGTTCTTCTTACATATTTTCCGTTCAATAATTAATTCAATTTATTATGTTTTCCTAAAGCATTTTGAACAAATAAACGATGAAAAATTAATTTTGTTGGATTAACAAAAGTGTACTTAACCTTCTTCATCTGATCCTTAAAGAGGCCTAAGTCTTGAACAGAGACACCACTCTACATAAACAAAATAGAATAATAAACTCAATGCATTCGGACTTCTTCCGTTACGGACCGAAACAAATAAGAGATTTATCAAAAATTTCACGTTACGATATTTATCTATACTGGAAACTGTAGGCGAATTCTGATCATTTTAAAACTATTTGTTTTAGATTAATAACTTCTTTCAAAGGACTGAATGCTAAGCCACCATAACCAAGTCTCATAAAGATGAAACGCTTCTTCCCAACAGCGATAAAACTGACAGCCATGAAATGAGCATCAACGTGTTATTATTCTTGAATCATACGTGAATCTCAGAGACTATTTATGCATCATTCTCACAATTTCAATCACTGTCACTGTCCTCATCAAATTGATCCGACGGACTCATATATTCATGTAAATCGTGACTAAATATTGAAAATTTGCATAAATGCTTCTACAGAAATCCACTTGTTTAATTCAATAATATGATTATGACAGTGACTATACCCCAACTCTACTGGGATGACTCAAATGAATATGTGGATCAAAAAAATCACAGATACAAGAGACTGAAATGAAAGACGAATTGCCGTACTTCAAAGATTCACATATCCAGAAATCTGAAGATCATAATCGAAATTTATAACTATAATGAGATATTTTTAATTTCATAGAAAATATGAAAAGAATACGCGACGTACTGGTGATACATCCAGCCGCGTGAAGTAGGTCGGGTGCTGGATCTGATGTACCCAGATCAATACCCAACAATTAAATCCTATTGTTGAAAAATACGAGTTTAGTCATTTACGTACTTTGTTCAGACGCTGTATGTTTGAAAGATAAGGTGAATTTTCATTTTTCTCAAAAAATATTCATTCATTTATCAATTTTTATTTTGTCTCCGTTAGAGTAGTCTCCCTCAGATATAATACACTTGTGCAAGCGTTTTTTCCAATCGGCGGTTCAGTTTTTATCTCATTAATAGTCGCAAAACGCCGTCATTTAATGGGTCTCTTCAATGTTGAAAACAGGAAAAAGTCGCAGGGGGGCAATTCTGGTGGCTGATGCATGATTACGGTTTTTTTTTTGGTCAAAAAATACGAACGAGCTATGACGAGTGAGCGGGTGCATTACCGTGATGCAGAAGCCATGAATTGTTTTTCCACAATATCAGACGTTTTCTTCGTGTTGACTGTACGACCATGTGGCAAAAACTCCTGATGCAGTACGCCACGGTAATCAAAGGAAACCGTGAGCAGAACCATGATATTTGATTGAACTTGGCGTTTTTTTTGTCTTAGCTCTCCTGGTCTCTTCCATTTGAACTATTGGGCTTTAGTTTTGAGGTCATAACCATATACCCATCATTCGTCACCAGTTAACACCCTTTTGAACAAATCTAGATTGCCGCTGTTGACGTCTTTCAACAATTCATGGACAATATTTCGGGAATTTTAGAACTAAACCTGTACGTCGTCTTGATTTCAATTTTTTTGGTCAAAAAATACGAACGAGCTATGACGAGTGAGCGGGTACATTACCGTGATGCAAAAGCCATGAATTGTTTTTCCACAATATCAGACGTTTTCTTCGTGTTGACTGTACGTCCATGTGGCAAGAACTCTTAATGCAGTACGCCACGGTAATCAAAGGAAACCGTGAGCAGAACCATGACATTTGATTGAACTTGGCGTTTTTTCTGTCTTAGCTCTCCTGGTCTCTTCCATTTGAACTATTGGGCTTTAGTTTTGAGGTCATAACCATATACCCATCATTCGTCACCACTTAAGACCCTTTTAAGCAAATCTAGATTGCCGCTGTTGACGTCTTTCAACAATTCATGGACAATATTTCGGGAATTTTAGAACTAAACCTGTACGTCGTCTTGATTTCAATCAGGTTGGAGCCTGGCTCCCTTACCCTTTGAACTGATGTTTGCCAGAAGGACAAACGGGTCATGACTGATGGTGAGTGTTGATGGTATGGCGGCATGAATGTCCTCAGACATCAGTACCGCCCTTCACGGTGTACCCCTACCTGGCTGGGGTGGGTTGAATGAAAAAGTTGTTCATCTTTCAACGGAAGATATAGGGGGCTCATTCGACAGAGTATCGGGGCCTTCTATATCGGCAGGGATCGTCTACAGTATAATTCATAGCTTCCCTGACTATTTAGAACGAATTTCGCTGCCACACGTTTTATACCCAAAATTTATGAAAAAAATGCATGGCCTGAGGCAACCGATCGGCCAACATCCTCAGCAACTTCCCTAATAGTGATTCTCCATAACATTTTCTTCACTTTCTCAACATTTTCATCGGTTGCTTATGTGCTACGGCGTCTATGGCGAGCGTCTTCGTTCACATTTTCTCAGCCTTCTGTGAAAGGATTATACCACTTGTAAACATTTTTCTGATTCAAGAGTACGATCACCGTATGCCACTGTCCACATTTCAAGTGTTTTTGTTCACTCATTCAAATTTTTACACGAAATTTGATCCCAATTCTTTGATACATTCTGACTTTTATGCCTCTCACTAATAAACTGAAAATGCTAACAGCTGAAACTATAAACATTTGTTTGAAACGACTGTACCAAGATAAAAAAAATCGTTTATCGAATGTACATAGCAAAATTTGAGCATTCACCTTATTTTTTAATATCATTTAGATGCTCAATCAACGAACTTTTTTTTGATGACAGATCAGTGGAATCTAAAAATAACACTAAATTTCTAGGAGTGTTCATTGACCAGAATTTAAAATTTGTGGATCATATCAAACAACTCACTAGAAAACTATCCTCTGGCTATTATGCGGTTAGAGTGATTTATAAAATATTGGGGTTCAGCACTGGAAAGATGGCGTACTTTGCACTCATAGATTCTCACTTATAGTTTGTGCCCATGCACCATTTTTATTTTAATATCATTTGAAATGTATTGCATTTATTAAGTATTTGCTACCCAAGCTTTGCCTTATGATAATTAAGCATATTATTATTATTATACTCGAACATTATGTCTTTATTGATTGTACTTCCAAACAAATGTTCCTGTTGAAATTTTTCGTTATTCAGGTGATAAAATTGGTTTAAATCGAGAATTGATATGTTGTTCTCATATCGATGTATTTAGCTGAGAATATTTCAGGAAATAATATTTACGAATACCACTCGACTTAAAAATTGTCTCAGATGAAATTTTTTTCAACTCAAACTCTGTTATGAAATTGTTCGATACTTGATGAAAATCCATAACGTATTCAAGTAACATTTTATTAAGAGATTATCTCTCAGTTGAGATAGCTATTATGTAACGAAACACGTGTTGCGATTTTGTAAACTGTATAGTGAAAATCTCACAATAAAGTATTATTTAAATACTCAAATAATGTTATTTTTGAGCAATACCAATCAAACAACCAGCAATATATGAAAACAATCGTCCTAAACATTCATGGTTTCATCGTACTATTTTCTCCGTTTTCATTGAAAATGGAAATTTGACGATAAAATTAAGAGTTCTTGTGATATTACTTTCAATATAAGAAAATAACAGGCTTTTTTCCAGAATAACTTTATTACCATTACTTTTTGAACAATCTTCGTATACAAGACGTTAATGAATGTATTCACCTTCTTGAAAATCTGCAACTTTTCCAATTCACTTATCACTGACAACCATTTACTTCCAATAATACGCAAATTCCAATTTGAATCAGTCTTCAACCGATTCTGTTCTTCCACAGAGCGTATCAGGAGATCTAGTTTCTCGCGAGACCCTCGTAGCGGAGCTGAAGAACGCTGCCAAACCTTTGGCCGATAGTTGCGCTCCGGAGGTATCCGCCAAAATCGAAGCCGCAGTCAAGGAAGCTGTGACTGCTTATGAAAACACTTGCAGCAACCTCAAGGAGTTGTGCACCAAGTACCACCACGCTGCCGATCTGTGGAAGCAGTACAAGGAAGCATCTGACTTGGTGAAAGAATGGATTGAGAATCCAATGGAGTCGGTAGAGAATTTGGAGCCCGATGAGGCCATCGAAAAAGTCAAGGTAAGAATGGTTCACTTCATCTTTAGTTTAGAGTGTTTAGATAATATATCACAACCTGTGTTTCCACGATCATTCATGAAAAACAAACTTTCGATGCATAATGCAGTCGTTAATTTTGTCTAGAATTTTTATGGTCGATCGTTCTATGGACTGCAAAATTTTTGAATCGATTCACTCTCGAACCCACTGAGAAATCAATATAATTTTTTGTTCAGTTATAGCATCAGAAAACATTTTGATTTTTTTTGTTCAATTTTTTTTTGAGAAGATTATACAGTGTCACCGATAAAGTCCGCATCAAATAGGAAACTTTTTTATTTATCGTTTTATGTGAAATTTGATTTTGGCAGTAGATTTTGCTTAAGAAATGATGTCAAATGGCGTCTACAAAATAGGTCACGTGATTTCCTTAACCTGTCAAATTGACATTTAAAAAAAGAAACATCTGCTTCGTGGAGCTTTTTTAATCAGTGTACTTAATAAGATCACGTTATAAAAGTTCAAAAAATGTAAATCTGTCTGTTTAAAAATCGGTAAGTTGAACAAAAATTTGTAGCGCCAATTTTTTTATCATTTCTTTGATTCATAATCAATCAAAACTATCATTGCTTCGGTAAGTCTGAGTTCTTGCGAAATTTTACTACGTACACATCTGTAACGTTCATAAGTTATCTGTGCTATTTTCATCGAAAATAATTGTGGCATTAGTTGAATAATCTTTATGAATATAAGCTGCATAATCTTCGGAAATTCGCTGAAAAGTGACAGTTTTACGACGAATTACTTTGCGTCAAAAAAAAAAACACAATCGATAGTGAATTCATATTCAGAAGATCAGATTTTACAAAACGTGTAGGCTGTAATAATTCATACAGTCTACAGAACGTTACTAATATGATTATGATTGTTTTCTCGACAAAAACATATAGAGGTAGGTCTATTTTCGACCCAGGTGATAAATAATACCCTAGTAGATGTTTGGTCGTCCCTAGTCAATCTATAAAACTAATGGCTGGATATTTGAAATTTTCAGAAGAGGGTTATACTTTTTATTAAGATTATTTGGCTTTGATGACTCATTTATTATACCTCTTCATATTTGTATTTGCATTCTAATCACTCTCGTCTGTATTTGGTAATCAGTAAACGGACCCCGATCATGACCCTTTTCTCAAGGTAAATAGTTTATGATGATTATTCTACCAGAGACGGGCTAAGCCCAATTATGCAGCTCAGTATTGCAACTGTTCGAGTGTTTCAGTTCGAATCCAATCACATGGAGAAAATGAATAGTGATATAATTGCATTGGCCAAACAGAAAGAACATTTTCACAAAGAATTGAAGAGAATAGTAGTAGTTTTGTGAAAAGAAAAACCATTTGCAAACCACCTTTTAGCAGTTAAAAGAGGAAAGTTTCAAACTCAATCTTCTAGAATGTTCAGAAATCAATAGATGTAAGAATTCGGATAATTTACTGAACGATCAATTAGAATTGAATAACCCCCCCGTTACTAAATATTTTTTCAAATGTGGGAACTGGGACATGAGCTCAAACACAAAGTGTTTTTTGAATACTTTCTTGAATTTGAATCTCAAAAATCACCCCCTGTTCAATGAAACAACTTTAAAGCCGCTGGTCAAAATAATCAGTCACAATAATAACTATATTTTAACGACTTAATAGCCAAGGGTCTTCCAGAGGATTCAAAGGAAACGTGTCCTTTATCGCGGTCCCCCTCCAGTTGAACCAAATCGGTCCGTGACAGCATCCCTTCTGTATCTTTCCACGTGTCGATCGATTCCTTCTTTGTATACCCGGCGTGTGCACTCCGCTTAACATTTCGTAGGCACCCTCACCAAACATATTTCCACTTATTTTAGTCTCCATCCAGCGTTTGTGACAAAAGCGCTAGTAAGTCCATGTATTTATAGAAATACCGGCCTTATACTACGGCCACGCGAAATTATATAAATAAGTGTTCTCAATCGCTTTCCGTTCCGGTCAGAAATAGAAATGATTTGAATGGAAAATTTGTGTGTACTTTTTCATTGAATATTTTCAATGGATAATGACCTTATTCGGCTAGACGTTCTGTCAGTTGCAAATGATGTTCGGTGTTTATGTGTGTTCCAGAAGTGGGATTAATGAGGCCTTTTGTGTGATCAATTTTATTTAGTACATTCTTAGCAATAAAAATTTTAAGTCCCTGTGAATGAAGTGTAAAATTCTATTTGCGGAGAAATACTCTCAGATGTGCACTCCTGAAGAATTGAAGGTAATTTAGAATACTGTTCAAAACTATGATAAAAATACTATAAAGTTTCAATTGTGTATTTCTTATTTTTCTGACAGAAATGTACCTAATTTTGAAAATTTAAATACAGAAGTAGGTACTGGTTTTTTTCAATTATCCTCATTTGTGGAAACTATCCTGATGAAAATTTTCAAGAATGGTCGGCAATAATTACTAAAGTTATAAACAACTTAGTTAAAGAATTGGTTTGTTTTTTTCCAAAAATCTCAAAAACTATTCGAGATGTCTGAAACAAGTTCCTTAAAAAGCAGGAAATAAAAAAAATCCGCCTCTCTTAAGTACAGAAGTGGATACTAGTTTTTTTCTAAATATCCTGCAACATAACCCTATTTATGTGTAAAACTCAAAAACTGCCCACACACTATTAAATGTAAACATTGCACTATACAAATTCACAAACAACGAACTATAGTATGTTTCACAAGTATAATTTTATCAAAAACCTAACCTCTAAGGCAAAAAAAGATAATTAAGATGCCATTCGTTTGGAAATAACATTCAAAAACTTATGAAAATTTTTAAGAATAGTCGGCAAAAATTACAATAGTTATAAACAACCGAGTAAAATAACCAAATATCTCAAAAAAAACTATCGGAGATATCTGAAACAAGATCTATAAACAGCAGGAAATAAAAAAAGTNTAAAACAATACTTTCCACTCAAACTTGTTTCCGTTTATTTTTCTTCTCTTACATGATTCATAAATTTAATGGTTTATCCTTGTAAGTTGTTGTCATAGACTGGTTCGCCAGAACCTAAATGACTGACCTGTTTTGCTTAGAAATCTGGAAATGTTAAAAAATAGCTTAAATGTATTTTTATTGCGAATAAATTATTATTATTATTCCAATTTGCCGGCCCAAATAACCAAGTAGGCTTTGTAGTACCAACGTTTCCCATTGCCTCATGCGTGAAATCATCTATTTATGTAAATTACCCTCGTTCATTGTTCCACGTACTTACAGTGCATTAGAAAAAACTGTCATCCATGTTAACCGTTCCAACATCCGCATAAAATGCAACTGTTATTTCAACAGGGCACGCAAACGCTTCTTTGTTTTATTTCAGAGCGGAAATTTGCAAGTTAGTGAGGAATGTGAATTATGCAACTGTCGAGAGTTTTTAAAATTTTGACGTTATACAGAACAAACTGCGGGTAATGCAAAATTTAAAAAAAATATGACATAAACGTTGGTAAACCTAGACTTTTGTGATTTATGGAAAACCACCAACACCGGAAAAATTATAATTATCAGATTATCTAAAAGATTCGTAATAAGTCGGAAGTTAATAAGACTATTCCAAGTAGAGGTTTTCCATTTAGAATAACAAAGAAAATTAAATTTCTGATGAGGCGAATATATAAAATAATATGTGGAATTGGCTGAAACTTAATGAAAGTCCTTAAGTATTCAATAATACTTTATGGTGATACTTTCACTGAATAGTTTACAAAATTGTGACACGTTTTTCTATATTTAATAGCTTCCTCGAATGTGTTCATACTGATAGTACAATAGTTTAATCAGGCGTGTTAATATTATGAAATGTGTTTCACTATTCAATAGCTTCCTCAGACGTGTTTATACTCAATAGTATGAACACGCCTAAGAAGCTATCAAATAGTGAAACACGTGTTGCAATTTTGTAAACTATTCAGTGAAAATCTCACAATGAAGTGTTTCTTTAATATAAAATATCTTTGTTTCATTTTGTTTTAGGGAATTGATTTTCTCCCCTTATCAGACAAACCGATTAAGATGAAAATGTATTTTCTAAAATCTGCAATAAACTCTGTATTATTTTAATTTGTCACAATAAGTAATATTTATATATCTTTGAAAGTGGTTGGCAATGTTTCGTGGTACTGGTTCGGGCTAGTTCGAATATGATTCTAATTTAATTCAAAATATCTGTATCTGTAGAGTAGGGAGGCACTTAGGCCACATGTGACCCATTGTACATCCTCCCGAGGAGTTGTCCTCGTAGGTTATCATCCATCCTGTCCTTTCCAGGAAGGTGGACAGGTCACTTGGAGACATCTGCTTTATATCGGCAGTTGTAGGCCGAGACTCGCCGAATACACACTCTCTTATTGACGATAACTCCGGTCACTCGCATAGAAAATGCCTGACAGACAGTCTCATCTTACTGTTCATACATCCTGCATAGAGGTGTGTCCACTAGCCTCATATCATGGAGGTGTTTCCTTAGTTGACAGTGGCCAGTCAGAAACCCTACTATTAAGCGTATATTTTTCCTGGTCATCGCCAGATATTTCTTCGGCGCCAGCTTCCCAGAGCAGCCCAGGGTGATCCTGGCAAGATTACATCTTTTGATTCCATCTTTTTAGGGATTGAACATGGGTGTAACATTTGGCTGGTTCCGCAACTGTCGAAGTCATCAGGCCGTAGGTGCCACTGGGTCCTAAAATTCTCAGTTGATTCAAAATATATGAAAGAACAAATAAAATTAGAATAATTAGTTAAAATATCAATCATATGTTAGCAATAAAACGTGAAATAAAAATACAATAAAAAGAATTAAATAAAATAATCAAGGTGAAAGGTTAAAATGACCACAGAGTAAAAAGAAATAAAAAAGAATAAAAAAATGAAAATGAGAAAAGAATTCCAAAAAAACTAAAATATTTTCAGCCAAGTTATTTCACGACGTTTCGATTGTTAGTATCCACAATTGTCTTCGGGTAATATTTACATTCCTCGTCCTCATTTTTTTCTAATTCTAATAAAATTTGTAGTTTTACCCTGAGGATGACAGTAGTATATACTGTCGAAATATAGGTAAAATAGTAGGTAAAAAAGTAGAAGTTTCTTGCTTGCTGCTTTTCTCAAAAAGTGTTCAACATTCGTGTGTGTGCGTGCGTATTTATGTGTACGACTTCGATAGTCATGTTTAAACTCATGTGTATACCCAATTGTCAATTTCTCATTTAGTTTCAATTCTGATTTATCTCCCTCTTTTCCTACATGTATGTTTGTTGGGAAAATAAATCGTTATTATTATCATCCTTGAAAGATAGACAGTTGCCATCCGGACTTTTTTGTATACTTGTGAAAGAGGAATATACTCACATGCCTGTCTGATATAATCCAACGCCCTTCGTGGTATTAGCCAGGGGAGTAGTTGTTTTCTGATAGGCGTCAGTCCATTAAACCTACTGTGTAGGTATATAGAGACTGGTTTGAAGGTTTTAAGTTCCATTTGCTTTAGATTTGTTTATTGCCAGTCTTCAAGCATAGCCCATTGACTAATAAGAAAGATTTAATTTGCAATATGAAATATGATGAAGATTCCTCAGTATTTTTGTTTCAACTTGCAAAATGTCAAAATATGAAAATTTTATATTGTAATTAGATGTCGGTTTTTTTCAGAGGGCAAAACAAAAGCTCCAAAAGAACAAGTCGGAAAAAAATTCAAAATCACTGCAAAATGATACATTTCAGTTTGTAACTATTCTACTTGAATTTTAACTATTTCATCTTTCAAATGTGTTTATCAATTTTACTTTGCTGAAGAGGTCAAGAAACCCTAATAAATAAGATTTTTTTTTGTAAACAATTGATTCTTTCAATGCAGTACTAATCAACACTCTCAATATCGTTATGTGTAAATATTATTTCTAAGCTGAGTATAGTTTATTTTAGAACACATTCTCTTGTTGAAAGAGATTCGAAACTCTTGAATCGAGACAGCTTTTCTCCATTTGAAGCATATCCACTCTTTCACTAAATTGGCGTTTGCCAAACAAATAACAATTTAGTTATGCCATGCATTTCACGAACTCCAACATAAGGATGCGAATTCCGAATCGAGAATGTAGCAGCAAATGAAAGTGATTAAATATTGCGTGTTCTAGTGTGAAATTATTACGGTCCCATTTGATTTTCGATTTCCATCTACTTTAATTGAAAACAACACGTCGTGTAACGGCCAAGGTTAATGGGTTGAAGTCACAGATTAAGATTTGTTCATTAAAGGGATTGGATGATTCAGGCGAGTCGATTTCAACATAGGTTCTGTGATTGGGAAGTGTATCGATGATGATACAAAGGAAAGTTCTCCTTCCACACAACGGGGAGGTTTACGAAGGTTGTCTTACATAATTATTCATCTCATATGTGGCAATCAAATGATATCTGATATAGATCGTAAAACTCATTTTCAAAACTGAGTATTAATAGAAGTCAACAGAAGATGTACAATTACTAAAAAAAATTTACTCTACTCCATTAGGTAATTCTTCTTCTTCTAATATATCATGAAATACATGGAACTAACCATAAGAATATAATAACCTCAACTCGGTACTTTCTATCCACAGTAAAGACAATGAATAAAAATATAAAAGAATTATTGCTGTTGATTAATCAATTTTTAATCACAATTAAAAATGATTTGTTACATGCAGGGAAAGTGAAACATAAAAAACCCAAGAAGTTAAATTATAATAATTTTTTGCCTGAATTTGTTTTCTAAATGGCTACAATAAAAAAGTCTTAGACTCTTTCAAATCTTTGTTCGGAAATAATGTATTAGGACCATCACGACCAAGTGGACGGTTTCATGCACAGGGATCGTGGAATTATCAAACTGGATAGTGAAGAAATATCCGCAGAAATTGATTTATTGATTTAATGACAAAATCAAGTGCATTCATGCAATAATTCATGGATTCAGTGTATGCATTGTTTTAGAACAATCATTCCTTATCATTATTCCTTTCCAAGGTTACAGACCTCTTCTCTTTCATTTCTTCTACAGATTTAATTCATCGGTTTCCATCAAATTAAATTTACGATACATTTTCGACAGTTACTCAGGCACTTTCAAAGACTTTGAATCCCACCAACACTGAACTGAATCAACTTATTTGAATAAATATACAAATATACAAACGAATCAACTAGACATATTATCCAATGTGATTGTTTTCGTGGAGTTTATTCATCTGAGAAATGTAGGAACTACTTCCTGGCTTCTTATTACAAGTCATACACTCAAAAAAAATTCCTTGTGATTCCAGATTGTCGTTAACTTAATTGATCAAGTTGTAAGGTTTGCTTTCAACTTGTGAATTGAATAATCTTTCTTGTGGCATTTTTTTATAATTTGTTCTTTACAATTTAATTTTGAAATTTAATTCCGTTACAAATACTGACTAAGGACAAAACAAACTCACAAGCAAATAATACTATTTTTCCAGAAGTAAATACATAATTGCCCAAAAGAATTTAGAAACACCAAAATCGTAACTTTTTCAAGAGTAATTAAAAAAAAAATACAAGTGAGTTTGTGCATCTAAATCCCCAATCATAATACAAGGAACAGCTTCTGTTGTGAGAAACAGCCAATTCGACTACTCAATCAGTGAATATATGTCATTCAATCTAGCCCACCGGCCCTATGTACATCTGATGATTGTTTCAATCAATGTTACTTTATGATTGATATATGATTCTGTGATGTCGTAATATTTCGTGAAATAAAATTCACTTCGGAAAAAATCTCCTTTTTTTGATGTTTCGAAAAACGAAGAAATAAACATGTATTTACAACTGATCATCTTTGAGAGCGTCGTTCATCTTTAATATTCGGGGATTGAGCCTTCTGACGACACCATATATGGCGTCTTCATTAGGTGAGAAGTAATCGCCTATATAGTAAGCCTTGTCTTGCAAGGATAGTTGAGTCCAATAACTGAGGAGACTTACAGAGGTGAAACAGCATTGTCTTCAGTTGGATCATGAATACTTTGTTTTCGGGCTCTGATTTAACTCTTTGTTCAAAGATAATTTCAGATAATAATATTCTTTGATGCATAATTGACCAGTATTTTCATATCGGTATCTTACTAAGTTCGAGAGATACTAATCAAATAATATTTTTTGGAACCCCTTATCTAGCGGCTACTTGCTTTGATTTGACTACTGCAATATTAAATTTGGTAATTATGAATACAATTCAAACCCCTTATTTTGAATCTTGTTTCAGGTATGCGAAGAGTCTCTAGCTGCACATACCAGACGGCTCTCCGATTTGCAGCAGCTTGTTTCCGGCATCGCATCAGCAGTGGGATTGGACGCCAAGTCTCTCTTAGGAGGAGAAGTCCAGGCTCTTGGAAAACGTCTAGAAGACGTCAGAGAATCGCTTACGGCACTCGCTGACGTTGCTGAAGCTAAGGCCAAAGCTAAAAATGACGCTCAGAAGGAGATCAACGGGACCAGGATATATTTGGATTCTGTACAACAGGTTGGTGTAATTTCCACAATGCTGTCAATGTCAAATATCCCATAAGTTGTTCAAATATCACTTGGAACAGAGAATTCTGAAAATATTCAGATCAAGATTGATAATAAAATGAGCCGTACATCATAAGGTGCCTTTGAGTGGCACTAATAATATTCAGGGGTGAGTTTTTCCCGTCAATATTTGTTCGCTATGCTGTACGATCATGGAGCAAGGTTAGCAAATAACTTGCCAGGAATAACCCAATCTGATTCTGAAAAGTATTTATAGCTATATTCGGCTTCAACAGTAGATGTGTTTTGTTGATACTAATCCTATTCCGAACAAGATTATTCATCAAAATGTATTCCTTATCTTTGGTGGAATAACCTTTGGCGGAATAACCTTTGGCGGAAATGACCCGATCAGAAATGACTACCAACAAAACACACCCAGTTTATCAACATTTGTATGAAAACTATGTTATTGTACCTACAATATAACATAGATACTTTGAAAGTATGTGTGAAATGTATTTATACTCACATTTTTTTAAATGTTTCTTACGAATCCAAAAAAAATTAGTGTTCTCGCTTATTTCAAGAGTTACAGCCTTCCAAACTTCAGCATTTTCACAATACAAGTATTTATTCACAATTACACCTTATTTCACCTTCTTTGACACTTTTCAGTTTAACATTTTTCCAATATAAAACTTGATTCAAGAATGGATTTAACAATTGTGAGGTTATAAAGTAGCTCCGTCAATTTATGAAGTTTTTTGTAGGAAAAATGTTGATTAGTGAACAGAAAAATGTCAAAGAAGGTGAAATTAAATGTGAACAAATCGGTGGTCTGTACCAGACAAGGAATGTAGTCCCTTGTAAAACATTATGATGGCAAACCGTTTTTAGACATTGTTTCAAGCCCAGGTTTTGCACTGTTACACTATTACTAATATCATTGCATCTTATGTCATTGCAGAGCATCAACAGCCTTGACAGCACTGACACAGACGACACAAATAATGAAGAAAAGCTTCTTGTTTTGAGAGACCACCTGCTGGCCTTGAGCAAAGCAGAAGGTCAGATACAGCAGATCAAAAACAAAACCGTAGAAGTGTCGACAACGAAAACTGAAACTTCAGTCCTAGAAATTCTGGAGCTCTGGCAACAAGTTTTCAGAGAAACCTTTCAGCAGTACCATCGTTTGAGCACTCGACTAGTAAAGAATGAAGACGGAGCTGCAGCACTAAAACTATGGCAAGAGTACCTGATGAACGTTCAGCAGTTCTTACAAGGCACTATTCCTGGCGATTATCATAGTTTATCTGATCACCAACACCTTTGTCAGATACACCAAAACCTACTCACCACACAACAAAACGTACTCAAACCAGACGAAAAGAAGGATAGTCAGTTGGCCAGCGGCTTGGTCGAAAGTACCGTTATGGAACAGTTTAATTCGTTAACGAACCTCCACAACGAAACCTTGTCGAGTATCATGGACAGACACTCTGAAGTCCAAAAGCGTCTGAACGCTTGGGACAAATACAAACAAGACCAAAATAAGTTGCTGAACTGGCTGAAAGCTATAGAGAAAGAGCGGGAGCACATGCAGTTGAGGTATATGCACATCAGACGAATTCCCAAGTTACTTTCGCTAATTCAAAATCTCCTAGACAAGATTCCTCAAGGGGAGGATCAAGCAGAAAACCTGCAAAAGCAACAGAACTTACTACTACAGTTCTGCGACGACGCTCTTGCCACGTCCATCAGAATGGAGCATGTCGCCATCAAGCAACGCATTTCCAATTTGCAGGCTGGTCTTGAAACTTGGAAAGAGTTCTTGGAACGAATAACGCTGTTAGTTAAATCTTACGAGAATCGTGTTGAAAAAGTCCAAAAAGTTTTAGACGACGTTCAGCAGGCTGTTGAAATTAGCTCCAATTTCGAAACCTCTCACACGTGGGTTAGCAATAAACTGCAAGTTCTGCAGATGACGAGAGATCGGCTGAACACTTCTAAGAAAGACCTGGAACAACTTGCGCTGACGCAAGAACAACTGAAGGAGTGCCTCAGCCCGTCTGATATGAAAACTGTCAATCAAAGGATTTGGTTGCTGTGGAACCAATATGGTGACCTAGACCACCAGATGGCGACTCTCTGTCACCAGCTGGAAGACAAATTAGGCGTACGATCCATGTTCGAGTCTAGACATGCCAAGTTCATCGCGTGGGTTAACGAATTAGAACATAGACTAGATAAAGATTACGACGACAGCTCAACACCGATGGACCCTAAAGAACTACTGAGGAAACTCGAGACTGAATTGCAAGCTGAAATGGCTCTCAAGGAACGCGAGTACAGCTGGCTGCTCAAAACCGGCAAGGAAATCGTTGATTCATGCGGGGATGAATATGCCGATGTTACAGCCAGGCAGATCTTCCAAACCCGAACTGAAGAGGTTTCCGAGCGGTGGAATAGATTAGAAAGCATTGGTAAGAGTCGATTCAACAAAATCAACGATGCCTTGCAAACAATTTTACAACTGGAAGAGCGGATAGCGAAGATGAGGGCATGGCTTAGCCAGATCGAAGTGCAACTAGCGAAACCTTTGGTGTTTGAAGCCAGCACCCAAGATGTTATTGATAGAAAGCAACAGGATCACGAGAAGCTGAAAAAGTCGATCGAAAACGAGAGTGGAAACGTGGGCGAACTACTTAACTTGTGTGAGCTGGTGCTAAATGATCCAGAAGTAATGAAATCCAACTTCCCTGTTGACAATATGAGTCGAGCGGTTACAAGTCTTGAAAAGCGTTGGAAAAGCGTATGCGGCCAGTCTGCCGAACGCAAGAGAAAAATTAATTTCATTTGGAAACTTCTTCAAGACGTTGCGAAGCTAAGCGGCGAACAAGATAAGTGGCTTGCCAAAAAGGAACATAGTCTCAAAGAGCTAGATAAACCCGCCGACAGCTTGGGTAGGGAAGAAATCCAACAACTCATCTACGTCGTGGAAAACGAAATCAAGGATATCGAATCTCGAACACCTGCCTTCCAGATACTTTGTCATACTTACTCAAAGCTTGTCACAGCTCCAGGTATCGAACCCGCAAACATAAAAGAACTCACTTCGAAGGCTCGTGTTATCGTGGTCAGGTGGGAAAATCTGATGCCCAAAGCTCAAGCTTTGTTGCAACGGTTGCAGAACGAACTGACTCCTTTCAAAGAGTTCTCTTTGGCTCATGAAGACGCAATAGTGGCACTCACGAAACTAGATGCGCAAATAACAGAATTACAACACCTGTCGCCTCCTGATAAAGTTTCTCCCGTGGACAGACTGAAAAAACTCCAATCCATTGAGAGGAAACTCACCTCGCAAACTCCCAACCTCGAAACGGCCGACAGGCTTGGCCTACAAATTATGAAAAAGAGTAGTAAGAAAGAGGTGGAAGAGATTCAAGAGATGATCGACGAATACCAGATCTTATGCAGAAACCTGCACGAGAGGATAACGTATATCAAGACTGAAATCAAGAAAGAAAAGCCCCAAAAACCTCTGGAGGTTGACGAAAGCGTTCAGGTGGAGACTCTAAAATTCGAAAGAGACACTGCTGTTCAAGTAAACACTCTGCCTCCTCAGCTGCAGAGGATGACGTCGATAAGCGCCAAAGATGCCTATTTGGTGGAGTTGGAAGCCGCGCTAGTCGAGTGCAGAACCAACATCGAGTCGCTGGAAGTCGCAGTTCATAAAGAAATACCGAAGCAAGGTTCTTCGGAGCTACCGACGAGTAGTAAAAAGATCTCCAGAATGTCTGCTAGATGCCAGGCCAGTACGGAACTAGTGAAGCATCTTCATGACCTGCTCATAAACGAGTGCGAAGCTACTGAGATCGAGGCTTGCGGTGAGGAAGTTTTCGAACTTATCGAAAGGTACAAGAATTTAGTCGTCTTGGCGAAAGAGAAGGAACAAAAATTACGAGAGCTGAGGTAAGTTATTTTTGGAATGGCATAGATTTGTTTGAGTTTTTCTCTTAACAATGACTAACTGGCGTTTGGTTTTTCTCTCTACAGAACTACTGTCTCCGATGCTTATAACCTCGTATGCACACAGTAAGTACAGCACTTTTTCCATTTTCCTACTAAAGCATGCTAATCTAATCTATAATGACGTACCTTTTTCTTTCTATTTCCATGGCCAGTCCTTCTGAGTTGTCTTATATTTCGCCAAAACCTTTATAAAAGACACAGACTAGCGCATTTGAATTGTAATCTAACTTTCGAAAGCGAATTTGCTGTCTGGTTTCAAGTGACTATTTCATTCCTGAAAGCAAACAACTTAATTTTTTCCACAGGTTACAAAGTAGCCTATAAAAACATGAACGTTAGCATCAAATACTTCAATGAAATGAGATACTTGTATATCTCGCTATTTTCTCTTGAATGCCACTTAAAACTATTTTGTTTATCATTACCAACGACATGTTCTTTTTGTTTTTCCAACAAAATGTATTTGTTGTGAAATTCTTATTTAGAGTTCAATATACTGCTTTTCAATTTTATCTAAAATGAAAGCACTTTCTAATTGTTTGACATCACAAGTCTATACATTACACGCGCCAGCTTCGTTATTCCTATTAACAGATTTACAGAATTATAACAATAATAATAATAGTTCTTTCATTTCATTAGAACATCGAAATACAAAATTTACAGTAAAAGCATCAGATACAATAAATCATAAATGGAAAAACAGCAGCCAAACACGGCATGACGAAGGCAAATTGAAGAAAAGAAGATTCATTTTCACATAGAAGAAAAAATGATTCAGAGAATAGACAGTGTTTTCTAACAGTGAATATCAATTCTATCTAGAATTTCACAACACTACAACAAATTTTACTCATACTGAAATGAAGACCAGTTCACAAATGAATCAAATGATCTTTGTTGATAACTTTTTGCGATCATGACATATCTTTTATTTATTATAATCATTCATACCTTTCACAAACGTACAGTACCTACGTACACAAAGTGGAATTTTAAAATATGGAATCAGGCAGTACTATTTGTCAACTAATGTTTCTCTAATGAATCTCTTCATAGAAACAGCAAAATTACCCAATTACACAATCTAAAGTATAATGCATATTTTGGAATTCTGTATTTCATTTTCTTGCGATGTATAAGAATTTTTTCAATAACTCGTAGATGATGGTCACTTATATTTGAATCAATTATTGAAATATTGATACTGTGCTCAGAATATGTTGGAAAATAATCTAGAAGTGTTTTTTGTTGGTGCAATCTCACTGTTACGTATAATACTATTGTTCGCATAATAGACCATAATTCGTTACATTTTTCGGCTCCACAATTTTTCTTTATGAAACCAATGTTGAAATCACTACATACATTAACATTGTATCTATTGTCATTAATTTGATTCAGACACATCTCTGTCAGTTGCCAGATGACTGATTTATTTTATTGCATGTTTCATCATATCTATGGGAGTCACAGTTTTTTTTTGTGGACAATTTGGCTACAGTGTACTAAGAGAAGCTCTTTAGCACTTAGCGCAAAGGGGACACCTTGCATTATTTCTATAACTTTCAGAGGAATGATTAAAACCGAAACATTTTTCACGCTAAATCATATTTTTCTTTCTAATTTCTACACGACTGTCAAAATACGTTATTCTTGAATAACGGTCCATTAACATTTGCAAAGATTGTAAATGTTAATGGACCGTTGTTGTTTCAATATTGTTTGTAAATTCAAATTTGAAATGATCTTCACATCTACAAATTACGATCACTTTGTCGTAGCTGAAACTCCCAAAATTATGTAGAATTACATTTTCATTGAAACTAATGTTTTTCTCAATTCAGAAACCAACAAAATCTCATAATTTGTTTTTTACCTTCCATAGCGAGGCCGGGCGAATACTCTGCCCTCTTTGCACGAAACGTAACTGGGCCCAGCTTGACAATGATCTCTGGCGCTTAGAGAAATGGTTGCAAGTAGCTGAAGGAACTCAAAAATCTCAGAAGAACCCTCCGTCCAATATTGAGCATCTCGAAGATGTTGTCCAAGACCACCGGGAGTTCCTTCTGGATCTGGACAGCCATAAGAGTATAGTAAGATCTCTGAATATCGTCGGAACTCATCTGGCGGATCATACTGAAGATACTACCAAAGCAGACGAATTACGATCTAGATTAGAAGCCGACAATAAAAGATGGGACGTCATCTGTAGGCATGCCACCGATTGGCAGGTCAATTTGCAGTGGGCTCTGATGAATGTGAGTAGTATTTTCATTCAATTTATCGTCAATACATTTTCAAAAGTTGACAGGTAAAATCTTTAGAACAAATGTCATCTGTAATACCACTAAAGAAAGAAACTCTTTTTGATACTTCCTGAACAATTGCTAATAATCAAACTTAATACTTTTGAAGATTTGGTACTGATATCATTAATATGGTTAACAATTTTAACTTTTTCATCAAATATTGAGTTCTCCCAGATCTTTTACAGTGGAGTTTTATTCAAATGGTTGACTATTCAATGTATATGATGTATTAAATTTCCTCACTTATATTGTTTTTTGTAAGATTTTTATTTTATATAACAGGTTAACAAAACCGCACTTATTGATATGCGATAGCTTTCCATTATAGTGAATTTCTCAACTTGTATTAGTGTTTCTTGTTTCTGGGGAAATTGTGCACAATTTTATTTCAATATGGTATTTGAAGAGTTATGCAGTGAAACACGGCATTTTAGTTCGTGCAATACTTTATTTTAGCTTAATGTAAAATCAAATATAACTCGCCAGACAACAGACAACATGGAATCGCCAGCTGTCAACTTCAACCGGAGTGTCTACACACCCGTCTTGACGTACAACTACTATTAATGATCGAAATCTCTGGATTGTATTTTAACAGTATTCTCTCTATAGAAAAGATCCATCAGATATTTATGCAAGGCTAGTTACAGGGATTCATGCCGCCCATTATTTGTGACTTTTTATTTATCTATCCATAAAAAATATAAAAATCAATTTAATACCACCTCAACTTATAGTACACGTCAGTTTTACTTGATTTCCCTACCTACTCTATCTAGCCCTTACACAAAATTTTATTATTTTCAATAACAAAAAGTTCCCATTAATTTAGGGCAAATATATAATGAAAAGAAATTCAGAAAGACAGTAATAGAATTCCTGGTTGAGAGGCCCATTATAGTGTGGACAAATTCTACCAAGGCTCTATGGAGTAATTGGTATGTAGCTTTGTATAAACAAGTTATTGAAATCAACACGAAATGGCTATCAATGTTCATTACATAGCATTATATATCTACATTTACTCAATATTTATGTACTTATATTTGTATCTGTTCAGCTGGGCTTAATATTGTTCTGTCCATTCACTCTGCTCTTGTATCTAAGCATTATTTTATAGCCTATACTTGTTAATTTAATGTCCCATATACACGTTTTACTTTACTAGGATTTGCCAATAAGATGTTCAGATCTTGGGTAATAAAGCATATTTTGATTTGATTTTATTGATTGTATTAGTGGTTTTTTTCTCAACAAATTGAATTGATATGAAGACATTTGAACTATATCAAGTTATTTCAACTGAAAACCCAACTATAGTCTTCCTTTGAATTCCGAAACGAAACGACTAACTGTTTTCCTTTTCAGAATCAACAATTTCACACCATCATTGCAGAACTCTGCGCCTGGCTAGAAACTAACGAGAAGAAAATTCGCGCTTCCGAACCAGTTGACCTGACAGCTCCCTTAGAAACCGTAGAAGCGAAATACCAAAGGTTCCTCGAGCTCAGAGCAGAACTCGAGAGATGCGAGCCGAGAGTCATGAGTCTCCAAGAAGCAGCGAACCAGTTGCTTAGAGAAGAAGCTCCGGAAGGAGCAGGCACCATCTACCGGCGACTGACCGAACTGAGACTCAAACTGCAGTCTCTGATCAAACTCACGGGCGTTTATACCCTCAAGCTGGGGGCTGTGTTGGGGCGAGACCCCAACGAAATCGGAACTCTCGAATCATCTGGCCAATCAGCCGGAATACAGTCACTCAGTTATGATGTAAGTTTTACTAACCGTTGCCATATTCTGTAGCATTGTTTAGTCCGATATTATAGTGTATACGACTAACATTGTCGATGACGAAATGAATGTGTCATATTTAAGAAGTATCTAGATATTGTTAACATCTTTGTGAAAGTTTGTTCTTTTATTGGGGAATTGATACTGATAAAGAATGAACTGTCTCGAGAAGTACGAGTAGTTTTAGTAGAACTTTTTATTTTTGAGTAGCACTTTTTAGTTTTAATGTTAGAGTAAGAATTCGAAAGCACTGTTTCACATTTCCTTTGCGTTTTGAACAGCCTTTGGACCGACCTAGTGGGGACCTACCGTCAGCATCTACACCAGATGACACCTCTCACAAGTAATTATATCTTTTTCTTTTTTGTTTTTAACCAGTTTCTCGAGTCCTATTTTCAAAAATAGTTGCTTCAGTTTTTTAAACTGCAGGCTTGAGAAACTGGTTTGTTAGGCTTATTTTTGCATGATGTTACATTGAGAAATGCGTTTTTTCATTTTTTTTTTCTAAACTGCCTTGAACTTAAAGAGAATATTGATTAGTCAAGTTTATACAACTTTTCTTTTTATTGCTTCAATTTAAGAGTCACAATTGATTTGCCAAATGTTTTAAACATATGATTATGAAATAGTCTCCTCTTCATGAAATATCCAACCTTTAATATAGATCTCCAAAACTCTCCAGAAAATTGAGCTATCAAAGTACCTCCTCATTATTTCTTAGCAACAAATATCTTAGTAGATAATATTTCATCAGTGAAGTGTCAGTAAAAAAAGGACTCAGGATGAAAAACTGTTTGTCCCGAGCCTAAGATTTTTTTGTGCTAGATGTTTTAGCTTGAGATGTTTTTTTACCGAAATTTTTTTAGCTGAGATATTGTCCGAGATATTTCCGAGATGAACAGATGATGAGCTCCTGATTAATATTTATGGCAAACACTTAGAGAGTAAATAATGAAATGTATTTCAGATCCACATATGGGAGAACTTAATAAAAATTATATAAAATTACAAATTACTGAATATGTAGGTGATATCTAGAATGCTCATAGAAAATTCTCAGTGACGCTTTTTACTCATCTCTTCATATTTTTTTTATTGCCAATGAAAGAAACTGTAAAATGAGTGTTTTTGACTCACATCAATTAATATCCACATTTGGATATTTTACTTGAATGTAAAGGGTGACACTGCCAATCTGCATTTATAAGAATGAATATTTAAAACCACTTATAGGTAGCATGTCAAACTTCCTACAGATAAAATAGAAATGATGTTGCTTAATGAAGAAATGGACTCACATTGATTTAAATAAAAGTAATTTTATTCATATAAGTTACGCAAGTTTACATAATTTCATCAAGTTGTTTGGAAAGTTTGGCTTGTCCATTTGAAAAATCTTCTATGAGTAGAGTATTTGGTTTTTGTTTTCTGTAGATAAATATAGTTAAAGCTATTTGCTGTATACATATATTAAGAACAAAAGAGATCTGTTGATCTCTTTTAGGAATACATTGGTTTTCAGTAAAACAACTATTTTACTTTCTACAAATCCAATAATGTATAAAAAGTTTCGGAAATTCTAATGAGTGAAAGAAAAAATTGAAAATGTCAATAGAAAATATTAGATCAATCACACACAGAAGATTATTTCAGATACAGACTGAAAAAAACATTCTGAACAAGGAAAGAACTTTTTTAAATTATTGTGTACACCAAATATTGCTAATGAAATTGAAAAATAATACTGATAGTATAAATATAAATTCAGGAATAGTTTTCCATCTCTACTCTAGGTATCCGTCCACAGATTCCTCATCACCCCTTATTGTTGCAAAAACCTCACTTACAACTATTTAATTTCAAAAGAGGCAAATCTGTCTCAACATGATAAACGTTTGTAACATTTTCGAAAAATTCGGTTATATAAAATCGGCTTTCAGCTCTTGCTATTCTCAAAATTATTCATTTAGATTATATTATTGTCTCAAAAAGTCGCAAACAATATTTTTAATCCCTACTCAAGGCATTTTATGTATCTTAGTTATTTCATTATTTAAAATTTGTCATCTTTATGTATAGTATGGTATTTTTCATAAATCATCTCATATAGTATTTGAAAGTTCTAGTTTATAAATATCATTTCTTGAATAAATCTGATGCACAGAGCCTCGCAATGGTTTAAGGGCGCCACTGACATAATATATTTCCAATTCAAGCATTTTTTTTATCTAGATACATTTAAAAAAGTTCACAACTCGACAAGAAAAAATCTCAAAGATTTAATGTCAAGGTAGTTTCTGTGTCACCTTTTTTGTTTTCTTGGAATGTTACATCTTAGCTTCTCACATTCGTCCTTGACTAAAAATGTCCCTTTCATTTTCAGTGGTTCTGAAGACGAAGAAGAAATTAACACGTCAGTACTAAGAAGAGGGTGTCGGTTCTTAGGTAGAGTGGTGCGAGCTTCAGTGCCAATCCAGGCGCTAATGCTTCTCATGTTAGGCGCCGCATCATTAGTTCCTTTCACTGAAGATGACTATTCTTGTTCGCTAGTCAACACTATAGCTAATAGTCTTACGCCTACTCTGAGATATAATGATGGACCGCCGCCAATATAAGCCATTTGAAATCCTCTACTACTGCGAATACTCCACAATTCATTCCAATTTATTTGAAGACTTTAACACACATTTTGTTTGAGTCCAAAAGGAGAAAATTTTGTTGAAATCTTCAACAGTTTTTTATCGATATTATTTAGTATTTATGTAAATATATGTGACTTATTTTACGATTCGGCAGGTTAGAAAGCACGTCGTTAATCTTGAATTTTGAATATTCTTTTATATATATAGTTCTAGGTTTTGTATCGTTAGGAGTGTACATTTCAATGACTTGTCTGTATATTGGGATAGCACAAACGTGTGAAGAAATGATATATTTTGTATTGTTATTTTATGATATTTAACGAATGGTTGTGAAAATTAAGAGTTGTGCACCAAAGGAGTGGAACACTTTGGTTCACAAAAAATTAATTTTTTCTGTGATGAACATCTCGATTTGTGAAAAACAACTGGGAATGAAATGGTCTCTCCACATTTCACACCCCACCCGTCAGAACAAAAAGTCATGTAATTTTTCTCTCCAGAATTGCATGATTTCGCTCGTATAGAATTTCTCCCGATTCAAATACGAGTTTTGGAATTATTATCGAGATATATATACTTTTGCCTTATTATTTTTTTTATATTCATCGTTGCTTCTGCATATATTATTTTTACGGTCACGGTGCTATGATTTTTGTTAACTAAGCCGTGTAACATTTCGATTGCTTTCAAACTATAGACTTGCTTGAAATGTGTTTAGAAAACATTTATGACAAAAAAAGGATTGTTTTTTTTGGAATACGTTAGTTATGGATTTTCATCAAGTATCGGCCGATTCCATCATATATATTAAAAATATACATACAATAGTCCGTTTCACAATAGTAGTGTATCAGGAAATATAACACTCTTCAAAATTATAAAATACTTATTCAAGAATGAAATTTCTCAATTTATTTTTGAATAGAATGTCATTCACAAACACATATTTGTAACATTTGTAACACTATATTGTAACATTTGATATGCTTTGGTGAATTTTCACAGACTATAATGATTTTGAAGATTCCAACAAAAACTAGTCAATTAGTTCTACTCACTCAAATATCTCTCTAACAAAATTCCAAATGCAGTCTTCCTTTCGTAATATGAAATGTTTTTTTAATTTCAGTGCTAATCATCAAAGAGACTTCAAAAAAGTAGATAATTTCACATAAAGAATCTCTTGAGTAAATTTTTCAACAAAAAGAACAAAGAAAGAAGAAAAAAACTGAATTATGCAATATTATTAGGTAAGTTTTATGGTGTTCATATAGAAAGTTAGTGACGTCACATCGTTTTTACTCGATTTTGAAAAAACTACTGATGAAAAAATGTGGAAAACATAAAACGAAGTACCATTATACATGTAGTTTTCACCTGTGCAGTTATGCCAATGTCAGTGGAAAGGTCCATTGTGGTTGTATCTGGACTAGCTACTGAAAAAATTTTCATCAGAAGTGCTGGAATGAGTGCTGATTCAAAATTTGTCATCTTAACTGTGTTCTAGTTGATGAGGATGTTGAAGAAGCACCACCAAAAAAGGTTTTGAAAGCAAAATTATATTTTTTGAAATTTCAATGTAATGAAGTATTTTGTCAATAAGTAATACGTGTCCCCTGATTAACGAACTTCCAAAGTAGAATAATAATTTTGGTGCAATTAAGTAAAAGCAAAAAAGTGAAAGCATCATTGAAAACCCACATAATTCGAAAATAGTCCTCAACACCAAGATGGCTATTTTGATCAACATACCTAAGATATTCGCCATGAAAAAAATTAAATGAAAATAGTGGAACTTTTTTAAAATAGAAGCTTAAAATACACTGATTTGCAGATATAATTGGTATAACCTACATTCCATTCAATTTGGACATCAGTATTTTGCAATCTCTGTGCCATAGCATTGTATCTATATACAAAGACCATAGCATTAACATTTAATTTTGAATTCGCATATGAGAATGTTCATTACGTTTTCGTTTCAGTTATATATCCTCCTTATTTTTAATTACTCTGAGGCACAGATTAAATATTTAATCTGTGTCTGAGCTTATATCACAGAGTCTGTGTTTATCACAGACTACAGAAGTATTCTGTGGTGTTTATATTATGATCATGGAACGATAAATTATCTAATGAAGGGTAACTCCGCGCAGTTATCCAACTGTTTTCCTTCTGTCAATTATCGGGTGATGACAGATATGTGACTAAACTGTCTGTTAAGTTACCTTACGTTAACTGAATCTCTTTCTATATTTTTCACTTGTGCATTAAGCCATTCTATGTTAAGTGGTTAACTTAACAGTTACCAACTCATTCAGGCCGACGCATTGCTTAAACAAGGGCGATTTTGTACTGAAAATAGTTCTTTAAACGAAAAGTTGTACATCATTTGTACTAAATTCAGTATAATTGTACTGAAATATTAGCACTGCTTTCACAATAAACTCAACCTTCCCCAAACTATATTGAAGATTAATCTCTTTGATAGACCTCTCGAGGCCTGGAATTCGGACGTCATGCGTCGGTCAGGGGTCAAACACCATATGAAACAGATAAAAATTTATATCTAGTGTACATGAAGTTGATGTTCATCCAACTAAAAACAATAAACGCTTTGGTAGTTGGCATTATTACGTATTTTAACAACTCAAAGAATAGTGAATCAATATTTCATAGATTTTCTGTATCATACGATGTAAAACAGATTTTAAAAACAGTATTATTTTCACGTGGAAGATAAAATTGCTCTATAACCAAAATAGTTATTCATCACCAATAACAATCACAGATCACAGTAATTGCATGTCTTTTTCTCAATATTTTATGCAAGATATCAGTGTTGTCGATCATGAAATGCCTGAAATCGACTGAAACGTACATTTTCACGTGATTGTGGTCAATGGGAAATATTCCTCAATTTGGTTTATTACAGCAAATGCAAGTTTGAACAAAATGAAGTTGCGTTTATTTCAAGAGTTTTTCAAATTCACTTCGAAAAGTATTCAAATTGATGTTTCAAATGTTGGGTTTTAATTTTTAAAGGGATTTGTTTCTAATTCACATATTTGCAACAGCGCCTATATCAAGTTGAAATAATTTATACGTACCTAGATATCCTACTTTAAAAAAGGAAAATTATCTTTTTAAATCAACAATCAAGGCAAAATATAAATTATATTTCAATACCCCCTCCACAAGCCACATAAACAACAGTTGTTTTGTTATTTATTTATATAGAGGAAGATAGGTTAGGTGCACAAAATGTCATATGTCACAGAATGTCTCGAAACTCAGAACATAAGTAAACAGAACAGCATGCCTCTGAAATATGTCATCTTTGTCTCATACAGGTAACAGATTCATTGTCCTTCATTAGCTATAACCGATGTTGCCAAATGGCGAAATAGAAACGAATCCCTTCAAATGTTGAATGCATTATTTCATTCCTCTTTTTCAGGTATTTAAATATTTTTTTAAAGAAAAAGGTTGAACTGATAAGTTTAAAATGCTTTGTTTTAGAGTTCTTTTATGAAAACTACTTGATTTTATTCAGGAGGAACATTCCCCATTCTCATATGTAGATGTTTTCCATAGACATCATAATATGAACTGGCCGTGACGGCACTTTTATATATAGTCCACCTGCGAACCACACAACGTTTTGGCCATTGTATCACAGCATAACGACAAATCAAATCCCAAAATTTTGACACGGAAATATGCAATACGTAAAACATCTTGAAATTGTATTTGGAGATGAGAGTATGAGTACGTAATTGTAATTATTGTCATCTTTTTTTAGTTGTTGGAGTCAATGTTCTCTCTTCGATTGCCAGTCCATAGTTACAGTCCATTATTTTACGGATAGTTTTGTCACAGTAGAATATATATTTATTATTATTTTACGGATAGTTCGGTCACAGTAGAATGGTTTAATGACCCAGAAGACCTACTATCCACACTTTTTGGTAATGAATCACAGCGCTCATGATCGAATGCTAGCGAATAGTTTTTGGATGCGTCGTGAATTGCCTTGATAATCGGCAAGGTTTTCATGTATATATTTTTTTAAGTAATTTAACATTGTTGGCATATCAGACTGACAAAGTTTTGATTGTGAAATCATGATAAAGAAAATGCTGTCACATATATTTTTGATTTTTCCATGAAAAAATGTTTAGATAAGCACGAGTGTAATATATGTTTAGAATTTGAAAAAGAAAACGATGTTCTCAATATGGAAAATATATATTTCCATTTCAGAGCATATCCCAATTCTAATCAAGATATATTTGGAAATCAACAGTCTCCCCAGACATCTTTTATTGAGTTCGTTGAAAAATCATTTTAGTCATCTTTCCCCACAACTTTTGGTGATGCAAAATTTCTTCATCCTTAAAAGGATTTTCCAATTGATTATTTGTTATTGAATTTACAATATTTATAAATATTATTTTCTACTTTCGTGCATATTACCTTAATATTTATGGTTTAAGTATTATAATTGTGATATGAGCATTGATACATTTGTTCAATATTCTTCACCATTTTGTTTCAGTCTTTTTATTTTTTTTGTTTACTCATAATCCACGTTTCACTTAATGTTCAACCCCTTCAACAATTTATTTTCATTTCAGGCCACAATGATTCGTTTTCTTCACAAATTACCGTTCTTTATTTTTTTTTGAAACTCATACTCAATTTTATTTTCATTTAATTTCTCTTTCGGATGTTGACTACCAAAAGACAACTGTAGATACTAACAACCAAAAAACGCTGTGAAGTAGCTTTTGCATTTTTCATCATTTATTTTTGTTATATACTCTTTTAATTTTTACATTTTTTTATGTAATTTACATTTCACTTGTTTATCTCCATGAAACTATTTCATAATTTTCTCATAATCTGTGATCAGTAATCATTTGAAAGACCATTGAATATCACTATCCACAAAAAAGGTACAGAACAAGAAAATTGTGTGATTTCTTCATGGAAAGTATCCAAGAAAATTTTCATTCAATCTAACACCTATTTTTTCAACTGATACATAAATTTTGTGTTTTGGTTATAATTTTGCTTTCATAAAAATTGGAGCAACTTTAGTTTTGCTGTGTTGGTATTGTGTTATTTTGTGATGGTGGTTTGTTAAAAGATAAAAAAAGAAGAAGCATTTGATCAAAGTCAAAAATCAACAATATGCCATCAGTGATTCTGAATCGGAAATTGTGAGAAAGTTGCATTTTAAAAGAACTTTCATAACTTTAAACGTTATTTGTAAAGGTATATGGTACTCTCCGGAAGATTTAGTGATCAATTGATTGGATATTATGAAAATGAAATAATTATAAAATCGATTTATCGAAATGCAGTGTCCTAAACTGGTGACATTATCATACGTCTTACTTTCTGTTAGGCAATCTTTTTCGAAAGAACTTAATTAGCACTATTTTTTTGCAGATAAACAATAATGTCCGACGAAGAAGAGCTGACTCCTCCACCACCTCCTAGCCTCAAAAGCCCTAGCGCCGAAGGTGATTGGACATGCGAAGACTGTGGAAACGTAAATTTTGCCCGCAGAAACAATTGTAACCGTTGCAACAAGGGGAAAGCTCACAGCTTGGCTGCTGCTAAAAAGAGAAAGTTGGGAACGGAAATCGGCAAAGCGGCAGCAGAAAAAAGCAAAGGCCTTTTTAGTGCTGATGACTGGCAGTGTAACAAATGCGGTAACGTTAATTGGGCACGCAGACAATCCTGCAACGTCTGCAATGCCCCTAAGTTTGGCGAAGTCGAAGAAAGAACGGGGTTCGGAGGTGGCTATAATGATCGAGGTGTGGTTGAATACAAGGAACGTCAAGATTCCGATGATGACTATGACGAATTTGGGAGGAGAAAGAAAAGGCGACGAACTCACTCAAGAAGTGATGGGGACGAAGAAGAACGTGTTGAAAAAAAAAGTGCTAGAAGCGAGAAGGTGAAAGAAAGAATTATTGAGAATGAGGAAGATGAAGAAGATGATGATGACGACGATGATGATGATGGAGATTTGTCTAAGTATGATTTATCAGATTGGGGAGATGTTGGTGAGGTAGACAACAAAAAGGATAAGGGCAGAAACAATTCTTTGTCGCCCTCTCGTAATAACTATTGAATGTATATTACCTATTGATTTTTATTTTTTCAAATTGAAAATAGAGAATATCAGCTGGTCTGATTTAACATTTTTATGGTGATGATCAAACTAGATTAATGTGTAGTCTGCAAATCATAACTTGCTGTTAATTTTATTAAAAATTCGGTTTTTTGCTTTTAATGTGTATATGATTTTAAATTTGTTGGACTCAGTGTCTGACATGAAAAATAACTTGGAATTTGAATACAATACAAGTTATTAACATATAATGAACAATTTATCCTTGACACACAATAGCTTGCTTTAGTTATACTTCAAGATTTTAAATATATTTTGTCTTAAAACTCATTTCTACATTAGCCTCTAAACACTCTAAACAAATTATGTTTGTATTTTGGTCATTTATAATGACTGCCAGTGTGGCATTACTTGCATTACAGCCGAACGGCTGCTATCAAATTATTTTTTGAATGGAAGGGAATTTTGTGACCCTTCTCTTGATTGTTTTTGAATACTGAAAACTATTATTTTTTTTATGTAAATTTTGTCTGACATTGATATCTTGTCCCGTTCAAAAGTTAGTACAAATTTAAATAAAAACTGTTATTAACTCCAAGCAAATCACGTAATGAATTAGTATTCAACATCAATTCCTGTTTTTCTGAAATTGTGTTTCATAATTTTGAAAGTATTGACAACACATCGCTAATTACTGTTCTGAAATTTTGTTTATTTAATTTTGAAAAGTTGACATGTCGGGTTTAACTCTTATTGTTTTAAATATCTGTTGTTCTGTCCAATGGAACTAAATTTCCATTATTTTATTTCATTTCAGTGTTTTGACAAATGTTTCTATCGTTCTTCAGTAGCCAACTTGGATAGTAAGCATGTGTCAGATAATGATAGTATTGGAAACCTGTTTGAGGTTCTCTGGCTTAGTTGCACTGAGTTTTATGATTTGTATCGTTCAGAGTAGATGTATTTTATTAGGTAATTTCATTCAATTACTTTATTCTGGTTGAATATATAGTACTTGCAGGTTCACTTATTAAATATATGTTGACATAATGAATTTATTTTTTTTGCCTAAACTTTCAATAATTTCGACAAGAGTTAATGTTAGAAATTGAAAAAGTAATTAGAGCCATCGAGGAAAAGTTACTCGGAATTGAGCTTTTAAACAACCACATAAAAGAATGAACAAACACTACTATACGTTTATACATTTGGTCGTGGCAGCCCTGAAAATGTATAGTTTATGTCATATCTCCATGAAACTATTTCATAATTTTCTCATAATCTGTGATCAGTAATCATTTGAAAGACCATTGAATATCACTATCCACAAAAAAGGTACAGANTACGAGTTTCATAGGTTTGGAGGTTTTTTGCAGGTGTTGAACTATTTCCTTCAATTCGTGAGTAGAGTTTAGTTCAAATTATTTCCAACGTGAAGTTGGCTGATGAATTTTCCAAACATTTCGTTCACAAAGTTATCACGATATATATTAAATCATAAGTATACAAATATATATATATTGTGAAGAATATGTATTAATAATTCGTTATCGAGAGAACTTGCTATAGTATGTAAAATACGAAATGAAATATTTTTTTATTAATTGAAATTGAATAATTAATAATACAAATTTATTTTACCTTGAGGGTGGTTTCCCTGTTCCTCAAAAAAACTATCCCATCTTTAAGAGTGCTGTCGCTCAATAGAATGGTGTAAGGCACGCCAAGTTCGTCGTACTGTTTGAACTGAGCATCCAATTTCAGTTGATTTGAACTCGGCAACAGTAAAGTAGACACATGGTTGGTTCTTAGTTGTCTGCAGATATATACTGCGAGATCGGAAAGTTCAGCCGTGGAAGACTGATCTGGAAATATATTTGATACCGTCACTGTTGATTCTTCGTTATACAAAATCGGGAAAATGATAAACGAAGGAGACTTGAGACAGTGCTGTGATATATTACTGGGAAACAGTTTATATCATATTAAAGTAATGGACAATTTGTTGCTATACTCTAGTTTCCTGATAGTAAAAAGTAATGAATGCAAAATGCTAACAGGGGGCTCTATTAAATTTTTTTTATGATTTGCCACAGCGGTGTCGGCGGGTTTATACTACTTTACCAGGGCCAATCTACTTTTTTATCGCATATAGGTTGCGAACAAAATATTTTATAGACTGTAGGGTCGTTTTCTACCTACAGTGGCATGCGTTGGGGTATTCAATAAAAATACTTATTGAAACTATTAGGATATTTCAAAAGTTTCGTCCGTTTTAATGTCATCATGTCTTTATAGCTCCATATCTCAGTAAATATTTTACTATGTCATGATTAATAAATAAAAATAATTGTTTAATGTCTAAACAGGAATANGCGGTTCATCAACAACTTTTGGGTGTACGCCGTGTGGTCTGCACCGCATACCCTTACGTTACCCCGAGGGGCACTCATGTTAGGAAAGCTACCTTTCCAGCGTTGGATGAGTAACCGCCGAGGGCTCTTGCGAGACACCTCTACCACACATCTAGCTTGAAACCGGCCAACGCCTGTTGCCCGCAGATGCGGGATTGGGTGGTTGACCGATAACTTTACTGGGTGAGTGCCGTGTGGTCTGCACCGGAGGACTGTCAAACACCCATAAGAGAGAGACAGTGGCCCCCCGCCACTCACTCCTTGCAAAAAACAGAACATGCAGCTCTCATTAACTAAAATTAAGATAAATCTAGATACACATATAACGTACAGTATAAGGTATAAGCAATACTGTGACGCAATGGTGTTAACGAGGAGAACTGGCCAAATGTGCCGAGTAGGATGCGACGGTCATAAAAACTAAGGAAGATAGAGAGAACCGAGAAGCATTATGCCAAAGGAAGAAGAAAAGCAACATGATTCTGAAACTCCTGGCTGGATAGTCCTGGCAGCTATGCCATTGATGAAACAAGAAGAAGAAGAAGAAAGGCGTTATTATTTTCATTATCATTATATTATTTCTGTTTACGAGCAACCGTTTCTCTTCTTATTAGTAATTTATTTGTGAAAATGTCGAAAGCCCATCCTCCAGAACTGAAAAAGTAAGTTGAAACTTCATGTCTGTATAATGTATCTCACATAAATTTTTTTCAATTAGATTCATGGACAAAAAGTTAAGTTTGAAACTTAACGGTGGTAGACAAGTAACAGGGATATTAAGAGGTTTTGATCCTTTCATGAATTTGGTTGTCGACGAATCTATTGAGGAATGTAAAGATGGATCGAAAAACAATATTGGGATGGTTGTAAGTACTGAACATATACCCAAAAATATTTTCCTGATTTGAGGTTACTTTTTCAGGTGATCCGGGGAAACAGCATTGTAATGGTTGAAGCCTTAGATAGAATCTAGGATTTAGTTTTTTGATATGGTTTAAATTTCTCAGTTCATTTATCATTTATTCCTTATTCCCATTCTCAATGAATTTCATAATTTAAGTACGGTTTTCAGAAAATTTTAATTTTTTCAAAATTTTGTTACAACAAACTTTTTTCTTCTCTCTAACTGCACTTATTTATAAATACCAACAAACTTATGAAAATTAGTGATTTGCTGCAAGTGATAGTGTCCCAAGTCTGCTACTGATAAAAAAGACTGGAATGGATCATACATTTTTCTGGAGAGAGGGTTTTTCTAGTTGAAGGCAGATTCATACTGCTGGGTCACATGGCTAATGGGACTGCGATGGAGGCTAATGACTCCATAAATCTTTCTTTCACAAACAAAAATTTTATGATATTGACTATCAATGAAATAGTTTGGAAAAGTCCTGCTGAGGCAAAAACAAGTTTTAAAGTGGCTGGAACCTTATATGCTTTTTCTTCTGTTTTCCATGTCAGTAGTCAAGGGGGATATCACGATCATTAACTGTTTGTGTACTATTCATGATACTAGTTATACAATTTTTACACTATAAAATGTATTGAAAAGTTTATATCAATCACAGGATTGCTACACCATATACTATATGAACAAAATTTCTCTTACATGGAACACTGTCATCCTCAGTGGCAAACATTTGAAGTTTTGGAATAAGACATTTGCCTCTTTAGTACCAATCTGGATGAAATTACAAGATGAAGCACTCAATTCATTCATGAAATTATGACTTTGTCATCAATGACAGTACGTAATAACCCATCATTCGCTTATTTGATTCAATCCTAGCCATATGAATCTTATTTAAATTGAAACCGGTATATTATTGAGAGAAATTAATTTTTGGAAAAGAAAAGTTTTGGCTTTCTACTTTCCCACTCTATACAAAAAATGTGGGAATTTTCCAAAGAATGCAAGAAAGTAATTAATATGAGAATAAACTCTTCACAAAGGTTTGTAGATCATGCAAAGAAGTAACTTTCAGCCAAAAACTGGAAGAAACCCTTCTCTAAACAACTACTTTCATATAAGCATCAAATTACTTGAAAAAATTAATCTCTCTTAAAAATATACCCCTTTCTATTTGTGATTGAAACTAATTGAAACACAACCATAAAGTTATGAATTTGCTCATTTATGATTGGCCTAGAGGCAGTTAGTTATGAATCTGGACAACTGCGATTGGTTCAAAGGTGTGAGTTATGGCTACTTACGCAACAAGAAACAATCATATAATTGATGCTGATTTCGATAGTTATAAGAAAATGAGATTTCAATCAGTAGATGATTTTCTAAGCAAGCAAAACAAGTAAGAATAAGTTAACTGATACTGAAACTTTGTCAAAGGCCAAAGGAGGTAGAGCTGAGTTGATAATTTTTTATACAGACGCTCAATAGTTTGATATACTTATGCGAAGTTGATTTATTGTTAGAAGAGATAAACTATCTCTTTGATATTCCCATAATTTGAATTTCTCCATATACATGTATTTTTTATTTATTGCTAGCAAGGTGAATCCAAATTGTTTTTCACATAGCGAAAATAATCACCTCAAATTATAATATTTCACGTCGTCATTATTTATACAATACCCAGTTAAATATATTTAAGTAAGTAAGAGGGTTAATTTTTAAGATTGTACATTTTGATAAATAACGAAATTCTCGGTACTGATGTAATTCCTATGAATCTTCTGCTATATCCTGATACCTTTTTGGTGGGTCTAGAAAATGTAGCTGATTGTGAGGTGCTTTCATTATACAGGGTGTCTCGAATTAATTTCGAGACAATAAATTTGTCATATTTAATTCAAAAATCTTTCATATACTTAAATATATGAACTAACTTGCTTTGTTTTTTGAAAAATAAGGTTTTTCTGATTATGATCTAACTTGGTATATTTGATTGGTTTCACAAGTGATTTTCTTTGATGTAATTAGACGGCAAATATTTCCATTGGCGTCACAATGAGTTATAGTCGAAGTAAGTGATATAGTAATTGTTAAAGCTATCGGCGAACTCAAAGGTTAAAAAGCCAATACAAAGAAATAATGCCGCTACGAATTAGTCCACATGGACTGAAGAACTGGCGGTTCGTATTGGATAATTTTTACTAACCGAGTTTTATGATTGGCTGAAGAGTCATAAAATTAAATTTGAAGTCATGTTACGGTGACGAATAGAATGCGAGCCGTCGTGTTGTCAATGTTTAGTTCAGGAAGTGATCGCGATTTGAGTGTTGAAATTCAATATTGGTGCAGTAATAATTACTTTTCGTTATAATCAATTTTTGTTATCTGTTTAATATGTGGCGTTCATAAACAAGTACTAATATTAATAACGAGTGTTATAACAACGCAGACTTTCTCCTGTGTAGTGATTCCAATAATAAGTATTGCTGAAAAGTATGGATACAGCATACTGAGACTTCCTCCCTATTTTTGTGTTTTCAATCCCATCGAGTTGATGTGGGTAAAATTGAAACAAAGCATCAGGCGTAAAAATAATTTTCCAAAATTTGATAAGAAGGTAATAGAGCTAGTTATAGAAGTATCTAATATTACCGAAGAAGATTGGCAGAAAAGGATTAAAAAAGTAAGAAAAAAGCGGCGCTCTCCCTTATTTACAAAGTTACGGCCCTTCAAAGTTCAGAAAAGGGCAACTTTTCAGCCTTCTTTTTCACAAGATAAACTATTTAAAAACACAAGCATTTATTCACTAGGTCACCTTTACCCCTTATTCCTCATTAATTGACACTTTTCAATTCAACAATCAACATTTTTCTTGTAAAAAAACTTAATTTAAAAACGAATGCTTTTTCTGGTGACATTCTTCTATTTCTATGTTGTTACTAGTGACATTTCAGAAAAAAGCGGTTGGTATTTGCCGCCGCCTACTACTTCAAATTCGTAGATTTGGATTTTTAGTTTGACGTGAGTAATAAGAAAAACACAAAGAATGAAGGCAAAAACATTTGAATTACTTTAGGAATATTAACAGCATCAGTCGTACCAACTATGCCATTAACCTTAAGAGATGAATATGTTATTGAGTGTGTATGATATAAATCAAAAAGGGAAAAATTTGTGGACAGAACACTCAAAAAATGGAGGCAAACTGCGGACACGTGTTTCTGGCTATTGGCCTCATCAGCGCGGCGCAGCCAATTGCAAGGATGGCAACAACTGGTTACCAAAAATGAAAAACTTCACTTCACTGCACATATGCACGGTGGTTTCAATTAGAAGACCTTGTCCACCTTTGCAATTGGCTGCACCGCGCTGATGAGGCCAATAGCCAGAAACACGTGTCCGCGGTTTGCCTCTATATTTCTTGAGTGTCATGTCCACGAATTTCCTTCTTTTGATTTATATCATACACACTTAATAATATCTATATCTTTGTATCTATATCCTGGACCCGGAAGTCACGCAGGTAGCTATAGCTGCCTACGTGGTGATGTTAGATGATGCCTGGGAATGCTGGGTCTTCTAATTGAAACCACAAATGTGCAGTTGGCTCCTGTTGGTGACACCGTGCATATGTGATGTTTTTTTTTTTTCATTTTTGGTAACCAGTTGTTGTCCACCTTTGCAATTGGCTGCACCGCGCTGATGAGGCCAATAGCCAGAAACACGTGTCCGAGGTTTGCCTCTATATTTCTTGAGTGTCATGTGACCTAGTGAATAAATGCTTGTGAAAAAGAAGGCTGAAAAGTTGCCCTTTTCTGAACTTTGAAGGACCGTAACTTTGTAAATAAGAAAGAGGGCCGCTTTTTTCTTTCGGATTCGTAATGTGCGCGTCAAAATACGTAAGTACACTCAAACATTTTTTCAAAATCGTCGGGTGCCCTCAAAACGAATATTTACCTTCTTATACAATCAGAAATGATTATTGAATAACAAAATTAGTTAGCTCCCTAACTATATTAAAGGGGAACAGTTGGAAGGTACGTTTCCTATATCGTTTACTTGAGCTACACCTAGTATATATTTTTGTCAAAATTCCTTGTATACCACTACTTTTTTTCGAAAAAAAATAATTCATGTCCGCACATGAGCTATGAAAATGCGTTAAATCACATTGAAGCTAAAAATAACAATTTAGTTTACAAGAGTAGTTTTGCAAAATTTGAGTTGTAACATCGAATTGATTCAGTTGCCATACAGTTCGTAATTTCACCCAGTGGTGAATGTAATGTATATATGTAATGTATATATGTACATATATAATGTATATATGATATTGAGATATGTTATATATGATATTGAGAAATTAGGCACTTATATACATACATATATACATGCATACATCTATATACACACATGAGCACATACTCAAGCAGTTTGTTTGTTAAAATGTAAGCTTGTAGGTAAATGAGTAAAACTAAAATTGAGTAAGCAAATGACACGTATAAAAACAGTACAAAAAGAAAAAAAAACAAAAGAATATACATTTATGCAGATTGTGTCGATGTTGTCCTCAAAAACTTCATCTAATGTATAGTACGCCTTTTTGACAAGAATTACCTTCGAATTTCTCCTGAACGTGACACATTCTGTTATTTCAAGTCCAACATTCTTTATAGTCCAAAATCTCAAGCCATTAGACATACGTAATTTCTGCATATTTGAAGTGATCTTATGTAATATTAAGATGAAAAAAATGAATATTTTGGATATTTGTTTGTAATGGGTAAACTCGAAAATGATGAAGAAACTTAAATTAATGTAATCAATCCAAGACACTGAAAATTTGCCTACAAGTCAGAAACTCAAAATGATGTTCTAACTTTTTTTAAGTACCTACTTATTCATAAGTTCAACAAAATCGAACATAGAAGCATTCACTAAGAACACCAAAACAGAGGGTCTAAGCCCTCTGAAACTTCTAGGTGGAGATATAAATATAACAGGGGGCCACATGACACCGCGGATAGTGAAGAATGAACAGTCATCCTGAAAACATGCGCGAGGACCATTAACACAACGAACCAGCTATAGGGGTACCAAAGTC